TGGAGTTCCCACCTGTTTTATTGCTAAACACTGCTGCTAGAGAGCACAACAGGTGAGAAAACACACAGAGATTTCAGCAACAGAAGTGATAGGGTTCATCTTAATTTTTTGCTTACAGTTCTTGCACTTACAATCAAGGACTGAAAGAGTGTCATGTTTCTCAGTTCATTCCAAGGACTTGATTTAGAGAAAGATGTGTGTTTGTAGGTCAGGTTTTGCATATATTGCACCAAATGTCCCCACAAGGACAGATAAAACTGAAATGACCTACACTGTGGGATTAGTTAACATAAAAAAAATCATTTTTTAATTAAAATGCAGAAATATTTCTTGATAGGTAGGTTATGTAAGGGGATTAATATATAAAAATAATACAAGTTAATAGTAAGTCCCCATGATAGAATGATAGAAAAACAAATGTGTGTGTGTTGATTGTGGGGAGGGAAGGAGAGGGGGGTGTTGGGATTTGACAATCTCATTGGTTTAAGGAAAGATCTGCTTCCTTAAAGAGAATGGAGAAGCCATATGGGAAACCTATATAAACCCAACTAATGTTATAAGCTGATGCTCTTTCCCTCTAGTCACCCCTGAATGTTCTGCTGCGCACTGAAAGGTGAGTCTCTATTATTCTGTCCGTCTCGAACATTAGATCTTCAGGAGATCTCAGTCATGCTGAGCAGCCATACTCAGCCAAGAAATTAGAGTAATAAGCAGGATAAAAATATGCTTTATAATGTACTGCATACTGGACTTGTGACAAAACAGGTTAAGTGGCTGTTGCCTAATATAATACTGTGTTTTTTAAGAATGGAGAGACCATGGATATGGTTTGATGTCTTCTTTATGGATACATTCTGATCAGTTCTTACTTTAAACTGTAATGTGAAATGCCCAAAAAGCTTTTATTAGACCCTAATTTGACGTAATTGTGGTATGTGTTGTTGGGATACATTTGAGTAGGCTATATTTAATACATTGTAAAAGTATATGAATCACAAGTATATTAAGCACATGCTCACTGTTAGATATTTCTTGCCTTAGTTCACCAGCACCTGTTGTTTTTACGGAAAAAAAATTGGCAGTTGGGTAATTCAATTAAAATACTATAAAATGTAATCAACTTTACAGACCTGTAAATTTTACAGTTTAAAACTGTTGTAATTTACAAAAAATCCAACCGTAACCAAGCTGCTACTAAAATCAGTTTTTAATTCTTTAACATAACAAATAGCTTACATAAGTTGTACAGCGTCAAACACACACATACAAATTCCATCATGGTAACACACATGACATTAAAATAATGTAATAAACAGTAATTTATCAACATAAGATGTAACATAAAACCATAGTTTTAACAAAATACTGTCAAAAGTGAAGTATCATACAGGGAATTCTGGGAATATCTGTTTACTGTAAATTAAATGACTTGTTCTTTTTACCTCCAAAAATTATCGATTTAACAGTTTTTTAACTAAAAAATTACATCAAATGTCCCAATAAATCTATTTTGGTTTTTCACACTGTAGAGTAAGGGAACTTACCATTAACCAATTAACAGGCTTTACCGTAAGTCTTTTTTTCACAATGTAATATTTCCTTCACACATCTTATGATATACACGGGTATGGAGACCACAGCTCATTTTAAAAAACATAATGCTCCAACTCAGTCCATGTCCATTCCAAAATCTTTTTTGGCAAGAAAAGTGTAGAACTAATATAGTTCTTTAGACTATCAGAAAGTATTTTTACAGTTGTGGAGGGTTTCAGCTGTTGGGTGTTGAAGTTGAGGAGATTCTTCAAGAGGCAGCAAGCTGTCTGTCAGCTGTCTCGTCTTCTGTATTGGGTGCAGACCTTCTGCTTCCTACAAAGGAACACTAAAAAAAGAGCATAAGACAATTGCTTCTCAAATTCAAACCCTTAAACACCAAACACTTCTGAGGGTATTGACACTTACACAGACCCCCAGCCGTCTCTCTTTCACATTATCCCCAGCCAAATTTAGACTTGCTGCAGGACCGATGACTGAATGTAAATTGTTTCCATTAGATTGAAGGCAGAAACACCCCCACCTGCCACCCACAGGCGTCTTCACCTTAACAGAGGTTGCCACAAAGAGCCCGGCAAGATGTCTGAGTAAGTATTGAGTTACAAACATCATGATGTTTGTGTGGCGTGAAAATGATCAAGTCACTAAGTCATGGATTACTGAACTCAGGAAATACATTTAGCATCATGATCATTTTGTATTTATTATGATACATACTAGCATAAATGGTATTAGTACTGCTATTAGCACAGTACATTTTATGGAGCTCCATGTGTTTCTCCTAACCATAATCATCCCAGTCAGTGAATAATGCACTGTTCGGTGCTCTCTGAAATTGTAAACGTTTGCTTTCTGATAGGAAAAAGATGTCGTCCAGCCGCAGGCAACATCTGAAGGTGAGGTCATCTCTTTCTTCATGAGATCTGAGCTATATGAACTGTCAGTGTCTCTCTTGTTGAATACTGTCTGTGCTGCTTCTTTGTCTTTGTGCTCCAGAGCTTGTTGCTTCAGATCACTCATGGGCTTTTGGAGGAAGAGGCATCTGAGGCTGAGCAGGAAAAACAGAGATACATGGAGGAGAACTGCCCTGATCTCTCACTGCCTGGAAGCATGCAGGCACTACAGGTACACACAGACACACACACAAACACACACACATACATTGCCATGTTTTATGGGGATGTTCCATAGATGTAATATTTTTTATACTGTAAAAACTGTATTTTCTACCCCCTTACCCTAACCCAACCCCACAAAAAATCGACTTTTTAGATTTTCAAAAAATCATTTTAAAAGATCATTATATATAAGCTGTTTTCCTCTTGGGGACCAAACCATGTCCCCACAAGGTAAAAAATTACTGGTATTACTATCCTTGTGGGAACATTTGGTTCCCACAACGTAGGGAATATCATGTACACACACACACACACACACAGATTCAGTCAGTAACAGAATCACATCATGCTTATGAACAGTTTTATACATGCTAAAAGCACACCATCATTTACTATTGCCTTCAGTGCTGTGTGATGGGCAAAAGTACAGACGAATAGGCTACGTGTGAAAATGTGCATGTATCTTTGTGTAAAGGAACTGTGTAGGAAGTTGCACCAGCAGATTGATGTCATTGATGAACAAAGATATGATATGGAGAGCAAAGAGGCCAAGTCGAACAAGGAGGTACTTTTGTTCTGATGGTTGTTTTGTTCTGTTCTACTAGTTAATGCATTTAACTTACATAACATCTAAAACCTCACCTTTATTCTTGATCTTTTAAGATTGAAGATCTGAAGATAAAGGTTCAGGACCTGAAAGGTAAATTCAAGAAACCTGTTCTGAAGAAAGTGCGTATGTCTGCTGATGCCATGCTGCAGGCCCTGCTGGGCTCCAAGCACAAAGTGTCCCTGGACCTGAGAGCCAACCTCAAACAGGTCAAGAAAGAGGTCAAGGAGGAGGTGAGCGCACATCATTAGCATTTAAACAGAAGCATGTGCAATAAAATGTGGACATAACTCATGATGAGAAGACAAATGACACGAAGGCTTGTAGTTTTGAAACATTGTACTTTTTCTGGCATTACAGGAGAAGGAGGCAGTGGGAGACTGGCGTAAGAACATTGAGGATAAGGCTGGCATGGATGGCAGGAAGAAGATGTTTGAGTCTGAGACCTAAATCTGTTTTTCTTAAATTCATATTTTCATTCAATGATTTATTCGGTCAGGTTGTCTTAATTCTTGTGGTCTTCAGGGTTCTGAGAGATAAAAAGTGGTAATGCTATCTGTTGTTGTAATACTATCAAGTGATGTCACAGTTGGTTATGTATTGTATAAAGGAGGTTTTGATGTATGTGATGGTTGGTTTTGCAGCTGAGGCTTTAATTTGTAAAAGAATAATCTGACTTCGGGTCTTTTTTATTAGACCAAATAAATTGACATTCATCAGTAAAACCCATTCAAATACTCAAAACAGTACTGAGAGGAGTTTGCTAAAAAAAAAAAAAACCTACAAATCAAACAATCGAAGTGTGACATTCTGCTTTTTCATTATTTCATCTTCACCAGTTAAATGTATAGCTCAGTGAGACTAAAGAACAACAGCAACCGATGACTCCAGTGGTCACAAGGGAAAACAGCGGAGCTATCACACTAGTAGTGACTTGCTCTTTAAATGTAGCAAGTATGGAGTCACACACAGAGATTGTTCATTTGATAAGCAAAGCAAGATTAAATCTCCCACTTGAAAATTATATTAAGTGTTGCAAATGCATGCTTTCTGTTATGCCTTTATTTGTTTTCTTTTTTCCTGTCTTTCATTCTTTATATTCTTAAAAGAAAAAAGTGTATTGTCTACAGTGCAAGTCTGAAGAGTTAAACATACTGAATCCATAGTGTTTAAATTAACTATTAAACTATCAGAATGCTACATAAACTGCAGGCATTCACTTGTGATACAGCTGAAGTGTGATGTATACATCTGAGCCAACATAATTATACACCTTCACATGCACACTCTTTTAATTGTATACATACACAACATTTTAACTCACCATTGTGCCATGGTTAATATAATTATTTTCATTCTTCTTCTCCACTCATGCTAGGAAGCTTATTGGGTGACTATTATTTTCATTAGTTAGGCCATGATTCATTTAGTTTGCGATTATAATGGAGATTTAGGTGCTTATCTCTACTTATGTACTAATTTTAGCCTATACCTGTTTATTATCTTTAGGCAGGCAAACCATGCATGTGGATATATTGGTTCTGAACTGAGTGCCTGACAACACACAGAGTAGTGGCCCTGCAATGCTATTGTTTTGAGGTGTGGATGTGTGTGTGTGTGTGTGTGTGCGTGTGTGGTATCATCTTACTTTCCCAGGGGATCATCACATGACTGTTTAGCTTTCTGCTGATTGGAAGAGAGAACTGGAAAAGACAGGAGCCTGAGTTTGCAACACTCTGAATGAAAAACACATGGAGATAGACAGAGGAAGGGAGTGAGTGGAACAGAAATAGAGAGAGGGAGAGAGAGATTGACTAAATCCTGTTCAGTGAAAGGGGGAGCACATTCACACCCTTTAGAGGATTCACAGGAAAAGAGAGAATCAGAGAAACACATTCAAATATCATCTTCAGTCACAGCAAGGCTGCTGGGGTTTCAGTGAGGAGATTGAGTGAAACAAATAAACATGTCCAACTCAATCTTGCGACGACATTCCAGCAAAAAGGGATTGGAGAACCTCCAGAGGTGAGATGTTGTTGATTTGTATGCATGTGTGTGAATCTGTTTGTCTGTGGCCATTTGGTCTGAGTCTTTGATCTGCAGAGTCACACTGTTCTTTGCCTAGAGTACAGTAGTAGGGCTAGACTATGCTGCAGTTCATTAAATCCTGCTTCATGAATCTTGACTTTTATAACCTTAATCATGACTTTTAAACTTGTCTTAACCAGACAGCCATTAGGACAGAAAGGTTTTATCAGGCAGAACAGAGGGGTCAAGAGGGGGAAACAGAGCATGAGTTCTTTCTGCTGTTTATCAGTTCCTCAGGGTGTTTAGGGGGAAGGGTTAAAGTTCTTGTGGGTTGTTTTGCGGTCACTTAGTATTTCATCCCAACTCTATGGTCAAAGAATGCATGGATGCGGATAGAGTGAGACCCAAATCATCAGGCCGTCCCAGATGTTTTGAGGGTAGATGATTGTGTTGTTATATAGTTATGAGTGATGTCATGAAATGATAATGTGTCTGTCCTTTAGGATGTGTCTGTAGTTAAAGTAAAAGCTGTCCCAGATGGCTGTTGTTCACACGGCACATGGTGAGTTAATTCGTGACATCATATGAAATGGCAGTGACAGGCTTCAATAGCTTCTTTTATTACTGGAATTTTCCTGAGGGTGGTGACATCATCAGATCCCCCCTGCTCTAAATCTGCTGGATCTGTGATACACAGCAGCAGCCCCCTCCCACTCTGCCCTAAGGACCCGGAGCTCCTCTATACTGTGCTGGAAATTTTGAGCCACTCCACCACCCAGCCATTCTCACTAAGTTTATTTAACAAAGGAAAGCGTGTGGTTATTATTGATATTATAGATTTAGGCTACTCTGCTTTAGTGTTTGCTTTGTTCATTTACTCAATACAATAAATATGTTTTGAAACAGATTCAAATGTTTAAGCAGAATGTGTGTTAAAGAAGTTGCTGCTCTGATGCATGTGTTTTTCAATGTAACTGTTTTTCTGTTTTCATATATTTTAAAATGTAATTTATTTCTGTGAAGGCAAAGCTGAATTTTCAGCAGCCATTACGCCAGTCTTCAGTGTCACATGATCTTTCAGAAATCATTCCATTATGCTGATTTGCTGCTCAAGTAACAATATTATCAATGGTGAAAATAGTTGTGCTGCTTAATATTTTTATGTAAACCATGCTACATTTTTACATATTTGATGAGTAGAAAGTTCAAAACAACATTTATTTGAAATAGAAATCGTATGGAGCGATATATCTTTACTGTCACTTTTGATCAAATTAATGCATCCTTGCTGGATCTTAACTACATTTTTGAATGGTAGTTTCAAACTATGTTTTTCTTTCTTCTCTTTTATATTCTGGCTTGCTCTGCCAACCTGTTATAAAGTGCTTAGATTGCACATTAGATAAATGGTGTCTATAGTAACAAGAAGCATGCCTTTGTTGCTCATTCAGGACAGGTTAAAGAAAATATTAGCAAACATTGCATCAGTTCCCAGAGGAGTGTACTGTAATGTATCTAATCTATAAGCTTACACCAATCTTACACTTCCAGTAAAACTTGTAATTTCATCGATGAAAGCACAGGAATATTTTCTGATCTGTAACGAAGAATAAAACCGTCTGTAAATCATCCACCTCTGCACAATTATTGTAAATAATCAGTAAAAGTGTTTCTCTGCAGATTTAGTTGTGACAGTTGTTTTGTTTAGTTCTCGTAATGTAAGCCCCTGTAAAGGAAGGCAGTGAGCCATTTCCTGTCAGTGTGAACCCTGCACTTCCTGTCCATGTTCGACTTACTTCCTGTCCATCTCTGACCCTACCTTCTGTCATATGACCCCTATCGCATTCGCTATCATAGTCATGGTGGTGTATTATTGTTTGATCGGTTGAAAATTACTGCCTGAAGATTTACATCACAGTGTAAGAATATAGACAGTATAATGCATAAAAATTCTGTTTACCTTCATGCACAAATGCGGCATTTATGATTTAGCGATCATAATTCTGTTCCTGAATATAGAAATTATGAAGATTATTACTAATTTGTATTATATGAATTGTTATTTTGCAGGATCACTGTTCAGCGCAGTCTGGAGGATGCAGAAGAAATTGAGAGAGAACAACGACGACGTGCAAGAACCAGTTCCTCTACTGAGCTGTCTCAACCCACCGTGACCCCACAGGACAGCCCTCGCACTGCACAGCCTCTGGACAACCAGTTAGTTTCAAAAACCTAAAAGTACACTCAAGTCAAATACATGTGTTTTGTGAAACTGTGTTTTGTGTGTGTGTGTGTGTGTTTTGTTTCCATGGAGTCTCAACCTCCAGATTCTGGCTCAAGCCAACTTTCTCTGTCTATCTCTTTGTGTGCTTGTTAATCTGTTTGTGAGTTTATATGTGTCAAGACCACACCTGTTCTTTTGATTCAGTCACTTATTCTATTCTAATCTACTCCATTCCATTCTATTCTATTCTATTATATTCTATTAACATACTCAACTGTTGTAAATAGACTTGTTATTCTTATATTGGCATCCCAATGAGAGGCAATTCTGAAAGTGTTTCACTGTTTGTTAGGGGTCAGAATGATCTGGTTCCAAGCTGCCCATCCTCTTTGGAAGAGGACGAAGGCTTCAGTGATTGGACACATCTGAGCAGGCGCAAACAGGGACAAATGGAACATAAAGATGTAGAAACACATCTCAACGGCTCCTGTCACGCAAAACTGCAGTTTTGTTCCAGCTCTGCTCAACAAAGTAAACCGCATGATATCAATGTGTTTGACAGCACCCCATTCATACAGACCCGACCCCCCCTTTCAAATCAGCAAAACCTGGATGAGGATGGTGATGATGAAGACTGGGGTGCCAGAGAGCAGGAAAGAAGAGATAACATTAACGCAGCAGAGAGGGAGGAGGGAGAGACTGGACGGTGGTGTGCAGAGGAGGGCTATCCAAGAAGCGTGAAAGGACATGAGTCATCTTTCTGGAAAAAACTAAATCAGAGCTGTGACATGGATGAGAAGGTATGATATTTAAGAAGGCATTTAACAAGATAGCACTCAAATAATACTTCTTACCCTTAAACCCTTAACTCAGTCATGCATCAAAACCAGTCTTTCAAGTGCCTATAACTACTGCATGCAGTGAACATATATGCTTCTTTCACAGAGAGGAAAGAAGGCAGAGATGAAGATTTCCTACACCTCTACAGTCCTCCTCCAACAGAATGGGAGACAATACAGTACTAATGAACAAGAGGGGAGGAGAACAAATGACAGGTACAGGCATAGACACGCATACATTTCAACAAACTCAGAAAAACCTGTGTGATTTGTAAAATATATGCAGTTACAATGAGAAGTTAAGAGTTAAAATACTGTATATACAGTTAAAGCTACAGTAGCAGGGGAGACTAAGCTTAAACCAGTCTTACATTTAAGTACCTTTAGGAAATGAATATATTATGCTTGTGATATAGTGTGTTATTGTTATGTTTATTTAATTATAATTATTTACTGATGTATGTAAGGATGGAAATAGAGATCTGAAGTTATCTATTGCTTGTTGAGGGATTGACAGTTAGTTTACATGTTTCAAATCATTTTAAATCTCTAAATGACAGTTTGTGAGGAGCTTATTCATCTAATTCCTCCCAATCACAATATTAAGGTCAATATGATACTGCTTACCTCACTCGTCACTTCAATGACCATTCTTCCGGTATCCCAACTCCACCTCCATTTTTAATCTCTACTAGGGATTTGGTAGAAATGCATCTTTTATATGCCGATTATGCCAGTTTTACTCAAGCTCCACAACAAAAGAAATCAGGTTTTACCCGAGCTGTGGATGTGAGTTTACATTTTTAATTGATTGCGATGATAATAAAAGACAATGTACAGTTAAATAAAGTCAAGAAAAGGCATCTTTAAATGGAGCCGTCCCCTTGAGCCACACGCAAAGACAAATATACAGCATGAGAAGTAATCCGATTGCCAACAAATGACTCTACTGATTTGATTCTTTGAACAAACTGCTCAAAAGATTCACAAACCTGGGAGTTGGACTGAATCAGTATGAGGAATTCTACACTGAAGCAGACAGAAATGTTATGAATCAACATCTGACATACTGTGTGGAGACCATGACTTCCAGCATTGTAGGAGTTACCCTTACAATGTAATATCCTTAGCACACTGCAGGAGAACAGTTTGAGAAGAATGTGCCAATGATTGGGCAGCAATAGAGTTATGTCGATATTGACTCTGTGTTGAGAAATGACATGAGAAATCAGGTGAGTGTCGCAATTTCCCCAGAACGAATGTCCTTCCTGAGTTCAGCCTGTTTAATCTTTCTCAGAGAACGAAAGATACAGAGCAACATGGACTCTTCAGTCGATTCAGCAGCTCTCAGCAGTCCAGAGAGGTAAGACAATGCATGTGAGGTCAAATACTTTGTTGATGAATTGCTGCCCTTTATTAATCTTGTTGTCTTTAGTGTGTCTGAGGAGGTGTTTGTAAAGAGCAGTGAGGAGAACCAGCAGCATAGAGAGACAGGAGATCAGACTCATGAGGAGGTGCAGAGGAGGATGAGAGAGGAGGAGCGAGAGAGGAAGAGAAGGGATGTGATGGAAAAGTTGAAGAGGTTGAGTATATCCAGCGGAGATCCAGAGGAGCCCTTCAGTCCTCTCAGCCCCAGGAGCCCCTCCTACATGGTATGACATCATCGTCATTAGACACAAAATCACATGACAGATAATGACGTGCGCATTCATGTTTTCGCATGTGTTGGTCTGGGTAAAGGGTGTCCTGTAGGGTTTAGCTCCAACTCTTTTTAAACACACCTGAACCAGCAAATCAAGGTCTTCAGGACAAAGCATGTGTATTACTATAAATAAGAGAAACTGTCAATCACCAAGTGGTAAAGTCATGACGTCACTGCAGCTGTGGTTCCCATAGAAGACAACATTTATGGGACAGGTCATGTCAGATTTTATTTTCGGATTTGAAATACATTATTTAAATGTGAGTTTGGCCAGCAGCTTTTGAGACTTAAGTATTCAAGTAGATAGGAGTTGGTCTTGCATGTCTGTAATAGCTGCCCCGGTGCTATTAAAAATATGCCTGCTAGTGAACTGTCTTTCGTTGTTCGGACTGACTTTGTTCAGGATTGCTAAAAACTTATAGTCAGGCAGGTTAGAGCTAAACTCTGCAGGAAGGTGGTCCAGAAGCAGGATTGAACACCCCTGCAGAGTCTGGGGGGGTCTTGTTTGTATATTCATGTTGGGACAAATGTCTCCAACATTTGTCCCCAAATCAATAAATGTCTCCAATGATAATAAACCTAAAAAAAACTACATTGTAGTGACTTATTATGAGGAAATAGCTTGATTAAGAAAACTTCAGAAAGGGAATAAATGATGGCTTATTTAAATTAATAAAATTGCAAAAAGTCCTTTTCTGCGCCTTAAACAATATGGTCTGTTGCACTTCGACCAATGGCATGAGAATGGGGGCAGGGCTATGCCTGGGTTGGGGTTGAATGTTCAGGAAATTTATTTGAAAGTTATTTTCGCAGTGCAATTTTTAAATTTTTTAATTATTAAAAAATTAAAATGTTGCTTTACCATTCGGTGATGCTTGTGGCACAGAAATGACAATGTCAATGATAATGGTAGGTCCCTGCCTGAAATAAAACATGACATAATGTACAACACATGTGTTTGTGCATTGTGCCCAGTTGTGTTTTGTAATTTCATCTGGTATCCTCCATATGCTGTTTGCGTGACTCCGACTTCTTCCATATGCTGTGTTTGGTTCTGATCTTTTCCTTGCAATGGTGGTGTGGGTTGAGGGAGAAAGATGACAGAACAAGAAGCATCTGCTTTACACTGCTGAGGTGCTTTGTGTGTGTATGTGTTGCTTGCTGGTTTCAGGCTGAGGGTGAGGAGTGGCAATCAGAAGGTACAAGCTCGGTGAGTTGCTTACTTTGTGCATGTGCATGACAGCATTAAACTGTACGTTAGAATGTTTGTGTGTGTCTGCTACTGTGTACCTTATCTTTGCTTAATAAAGCTGTGGTTATAATTGCTTTGTTATGCATTTGTTCTGTTTATGTCTATGATCATATTCCCTTCCATCTTACTTTTGCGGTGTTCTGATAAAACTAATTCTGATATACTGTACAACTTAAGCATTTAGTGATATATTTTTATGTAAGAACATTTTTGACAGCCTCAATATTCTCCCTATATATATATTGGGAAAATAATAGTTTCATTTAAAAGGCAACAGATCAGTTCTTAACATACAAATAATAAACACTTAATGTATGGTGATGACATTTTAAAAATACAAAGGAAATGGGTGTCAGGATGACTTTTTTGGGCAATGAATGCATCCTATCATGTTGGGCGAAACTGAATCTTTAAAGGCCATGACACTTTTTGTGGAAGAAAGAAAGGGCAACAGGCTTCAAGGATTTACAGTATCAACAAAGAATATGAACAGCCAGATACAAAGCCCCCAGCAATGAAATTATGAAATAAATCTGTTTACAACATCAATGGATTAATCTGCCCTTCAGTATTGACTTAAACTTTTAACAGAGTATGGTTTTACTTTGTGCAATCATCATCCGTTACCCAATGAAGTTGCACTGCATTTCACTATTTTTGCCTGTTGCCTGGAAACATTGCACAAAATATTGCCCTAAGGGTTTTTCGTGCTCAGTGGTGTAAAGATTCACAAATACTCTGAATCTATTTACTTATAAATGTTCTTTTACTGTTCATCTACAGCTTACTGAGAGGACTGAGTCTCTAAACCGCTCCATTAAAAAAAAGTAAGACTTCGGAAACACACATACACATTGAGATGAAAGGGCACAAGTGATTTACTGTAGGACTGTAAAAAAAAAAAATCCCCCTCTTAGTATGGAATGTGAGAAAAAGCAGGGGTGAATTGTTGTTTTTCTGTGCTGTGGTATGACATCATGTGTTCATCAGTATTTTATCTTTGATCTAAACACCACACATGAATGATTCATTCATGAATGAACAACTGTTTGAAACATGGTTCACCATTCAAGCAGGCAGGTAGACATGATATGACATGTTTCCATCTATGTATCCTACTCCTATTCACTAAATATGAAATGATGGAGGATTTGTTTAGTCGTTTTTGCGCATGTATCAATCTCAGAATCCAATTTATCACCGGGTATTCTTTTCCACATTGTTCATTCTGGTATGAAGTATAAACAGTATACTTTACAGAGCCTTTGTTTATATCTTACATTACTTTATGAGTCATGGTGCTCTTCATGTCCATGCTTGTTCTGAGATGGTCTGTGTCTTGAAAGAACAGTGGTGCTTTAGGTAATGTTTCATCTGTTCGTGAAAACAGGAACAGTATAAAGAAGACCCAACCTCCCACGATCATCTCGAAGTTAGATGGCAGACTGGAGCAGTACAACCATGCCATTGAGGTGAATTACCTTCACATGCACTTGTATAATGTCAGTTTCATAATTAAACCTTCTGCATATATTCCTGTAAATGCACCTGCACGGCTACATGCTGCTGCTTTTACATTAATTTCTTTGCACGTGTAGCTCTTATTACCCCACCCAGTGCTTACATTCACCTGCTCTGATGTTTACCACTCTGATCTCTCTGCTGTGGTGCTTTCAGACAAACTGCATGCCCAGGCACTTCCTCTCTTAGTCATGCTTATTCGCTCAAACATTTTTGTTTTCAGCCGGTTCTGGTTTCCTGCCACCTAACTGTCAGGAAACGTGTAAGAGCCCCGTGGCAAATGTGTGTATTGTGGAACCAGGTGTTACAGGTTTTATTGCGGAGAGTTAAGCAGGTGTTTCACAAGTCCCAGATAGCGTAATATTTTCGTCATTATGTGTGTGTTTTGGTGCGTGTGTGCAGGAGTCCTGTAAAGAGGGCAATGTAGTCAAGGTAATGGACGTTCCAACACCACCAGAACCCGTATCTGCTCGGAAGACCCTGTTTGAGGCGGGAGAGGCCTGGAATCAGAACTCAACAAAGGCTGTGTCCTCCAAGGTTCATACAGTCACAAATATCATCCTTAGTTTATCAAAACATATATTATATGATAGTTCACCCTAAAATGAAAATTCTGTCATCATTTACTCACTCTCATGTCATTCCAATCATGTATGGCTTTCTTTTTTTCTTTAGAACATAAAATAATATTTTTTGAAGAACGTTTTTTTTTTTTTGCCATACAGTGGAAATCATAGACTGCTGCAAGGATGACTTATTTTTGTAGGCCAAGAGCCATTAACAAGTTAGCATTTTAGCACTTCCAGTTTCTATCGTCCGGAAGCCTTTTTATTTGATGATTTTTGGTTAAATGCCTGAAGATATTTTCACATTTTGTTCTACAACAAGCTTTTACTTGTCTTGAAAAATACATTTACTAACAAATGACTAAATTCTAAAGGTTGTTGGGGACAGAGGTTATGAGTTGAAAACTCATCTTATCACTAGTCTGCTTTCACAGCCTCAGTGTGTTTATAATCACACTCTTGCAAACTATTCTAACTCTAAATTTTTTAAGTGAAGACTGAAAGAGTTGTTGGTCGCTTGGTGATGGTGATTTTAAAATCAAGCGACTGTTGTGTAGTTTGTTTAGAACCTACATTTAGCTTCTTCTTTTTTTTTACTTCTAGTCAATGTATTTAGGCTTTAAAATTCATAAAAGTGTGCTAATTTGTGAAGATTATAATGGTAAACAAAACATGTAAGAATCATAAACTTTTGTTGGTCATAAAGCTTATTTTCTGCAATGATCTGAAAGGCAATGGAAAAATCCAGTGGGGTTTTTCTTGAGGGAACCAGTGTAATGCTAAAAGCTTCCAGGTTTACCTGCAACAATATGTTATCACTGCTGCACTAGTGTTCAGTGTCGGTTTGGACCCCAATGACTTTCATACGGACAATTTTTTCTACAATTGTGTTACAAAAAGTAATACAGTAATACAAAAGTAATACAGATTTAGAATGACATTAGGGTAAGTAAATCATGACATAATTATCATTTTTGAGTGAACTCTCACTTTTAAGAACTTTACTGACACGGACTCATATTGTGTTATTAGTCAATGTTTTGTTACTATAACTGAATTTCTGTTCCCTTGTGAAATGAGCGTACAGATATGTTGCACAATCTTCATCATTCTGGTGTGACTGTAAAAAGTAAGTGAGTGAGTAATTAAACGAATAAAGGATTTACTCTAATTCAGGATACAGAGGGAATGAAAGTGGGTGTGTCAGATCTAATTAACCAATGGGTGAAAGGAAACTGTGATGTCAGCACCAAGAGCCCTTCCTCCAAAGCAGCTGTAAGTTTATAATATACATGTTTATATTATAATGTTAATTGCATAGTTTTTTTCTTGAATCCAGCCAATAGTACATTTCCTTTTGAATCTATTGTATCCTCTATCTTCTTTTTCTTAATCTTTAGTTCTCTTCTTTACACTTTTCTTGTGTCTGCTGTTCTTCTCATCCTTTTCAGTAAGGTAAACAATTCCTATCTCTTTCTTCTCCATAGATCCTTTATAGCTGAGTGGAAGAATTTAAGTGACTTTTGTGACTATTTTTTATTTATTTTTGACTTGCTGTGTGTATGTGTTTTCTGGATAGACCATATGGAAAATATAAAAGGTGTTGTAAGGTTAAAGTTCATGCTGTGGCAAGTCATGTGATGGCAGAGAAACATTGAAACAAGCGTGTGGTTTAATGACACCATCTAGTGGTTACGACTAAAATGAACCTGTTAGACTGTCTGCAGTTTGTTTACAATAAAAAAAATTATGTTTATTGTGCCATTTCTGTTTCTGATTATTATGTCATCTATTATCTTTCTTTGTGTGTGTGTGTGTGCGTGTGTGTGTGTCAGGATGTTAAGTGTCAGGATGTTAAGGCTGGTGAGGTGCGTAACATAAAATCCATTTGGGAGAATCTGGGAGATGCCTCATCACAGGATAAACCAAATGCAAAGGTATATCATGACTTCTCGTGACACTAAATCATGATCCACCTTACAGAAACATTTCTCTAAACTTATGTTAGGATGTAATTGTGTTCAAAACAACCAATGAGCAACATGCATCAGTTCTTATAAACATCACTTGAGTTTGGCTGTTCACAAGCACAGGCTCATTCTCTTGCATCTGTAATCTGCTACTATAGATTAAGTAGTACTTAATTCCTCTTCACTTGGTTTTTCAAGGGTTTACAAGGCTGTAATTTGACCTTTACCTTTTCAGGGACTGGCTGGAAAAATGTACAAATTTGTTGAGAGTGGGCACGGGAAATATGAGAAGGTCTTCATAAATAACGACACAAACTGAAGAACAAGTAAGAAATGTACTTTCTTTATTAAAATCTTTTTAATTTAAAATGACAAAATATTAATTCAGCATGTTCGTTTCTACACAGACGTAGTTCATGCTTTACCAAAGTAACTAAAATATGATAATGTGCTGTACATGAACTGCTGCATATCTACAAAAACAAACACACTTAGCTCTATCAAAATAGCTTATGGGTGTACAGGGTAGGGCAGTGTATGATGATTAATTGTTGAAGATTGTTTATTATGTTTTCTCACTGTTATTGTGCATCACAAAATGCACTTCTGTGCTGGTTCTCAGTTCTGTTTATTTAGGATCTTTGTAGTCAGTTCTGTGCTACTACACAGAACTAGGTCTCAGACCCATGCCAGAGTTGAATTTCTCTGAGCTATGTGCATGTGGAGTGAGTAAAGGGCACGACACGGCAGTCAGTTAGATTTTGCAACAGAGATCCCTGAAGTACAAGGGCTGCCATAATTACCAGCTTAAAAAGGCCCCCCCCCCCTCCCCCAGCAGTCCTGGGTAGTATTCTGTAAATTTCACATGCCTGTTGTCACACCTGTCAGTCTAATCATGCTATTTGTGACACTGGACAAGAAATGAATCCATAAGCATGAAATCACTTTCAACATTTTTCTAGAAATGTGTCAGTAAGAAAACATCCAACACTGGTTTTTAGCTTAAAAAAAATGAATGAAAGTTTAAAATAACACATCTGAAACTTGGGGTGGGGTATCTTTCCTACATGTTCTAGTTATAATTTTCCAGTTTTCCCTCTGCCCTTTTTTAAATGAACAACACCACCATCATGTCATAAGTCCTTCTGAGCAGGGCTCTTGACACCGCTCAAAACATCACATTCTGAAGCTCTCTATTCTAAACATGTCTGCTCGCACCACCCGGCTCAGCTGACGTGAGCAAACCTAAACCCAGGATCCATCCCCCGGATGCCACACCACACTCTGAGCCTCTTTCCTTGTTTGATCATTCTCACCATTACGTTTTCAGCCCTTGCTCACTTCCTCACTCGCCACATCCCGAACAGCTGCACCCATCAGTCGCCCTCTCAATGCAGGAATGCACTAGGCCTCTATTTCTGCTGACCAGCCCTTTACTGCACTGCTCAGAGCAGAACACAGTGCATAGCTTGTTTGTCTCACTGTTGAGGATTTCATATAAAAAAGGAATTTACAGTGCTACAACACTACATAATTGTATAAATTGTAGTTGAATTGTAATTGTAGTTGAAACTTTACACTGTGCATTTGAAATGTAATCATACATCTGCTGTTTTTCCAGTAGATGCACCGAATCCTTTGGCTGTTCTGTTGAAGTCTTTCGGCTCTTCACCTTCCTGTTTGCGATGCAGCAGCCCTCTTTCAAAGGCCGTGGCTATTTTGTTGAGAGGTTTCGCAGCTGCCTCTTTCAGCTTACGGGCATCAAAGCGCGGACTGTAGAGAAGGATGGGCAGGCGATGGACGAAGGATGGGACTAACTGGCCATCCTTCTCAGTGTTTTTCTGCTCTACTTCCTCGGTTTTGTTGCTATGTATCTGCTTCATAATTTTCTCCTTTGTTGCAAACATATGAAAAAGTACAGCATCCCACATTTTTGTTGCCCTGGGCTCATCTTTCTTTTTTACCACATCCTGTCCACCCAATGACTCTTCTTTGGCCCCTGCAGATTTGTCTTTACCACTTATTTCTATATCTGTTTTCTGAGAATTTTTCTCCACCTTAGGCTCTGGAAAACTGGGGCTTTCAGGTTCAACCACCATGTGCTTTTTCAGCCTTGTCCAGCCACTGAGCTTGGCCTTCAGGCCTTTGGGTTTCTGAGCACCCTTAGGTTCATTTTGTTTCTTCTGATCATCTGGTGTGGGTTCAGAGAGAGTCTATTGGCTAAACTTGCCATCTTCAGTGGCTACAGCCTCGTTTTGTCTTTCAGTTGCTAATGAATCTTTTAAACACGTTTGAGGTTTTGAGGTATCAGACTTAAACACTTTGACTTTAGCATCTGTGACAAGATCAACTTTTGAATCCTGAGCATGTTGTGCCTTTACATCCATATTAGATGCTTTGGCTTCTGTCTGGGATTTAGCTGAGCTTTCTTCAGATGAAGAGAGTGGTAGAGATTTGGCAACCTTGAGAAGCATGGCGGCAAGACTATTTTCTGCACTTGGAGCTTTTCGAAGAGACTTCATATTTGAACACGATAAAGGCTTTCGAGTATCAGATTTTAAGGGTTTGGTCTGTATGCTTTCCATATTCGATTTGGTGTCTTGGTGTATGTTATTTGATGGTTTGATTATTGCATTTGAATGTCTTTGGTGTGTTGGTGAATTGTTTAATTTGGATTCAACTGTAACTTTAGCTGCAGCTTTGAAATCAGTGTTTGTTTTATTGGAGTCCTGTAAGTCTGATGCCAAATGGCTCTTTTGGTTTGGCTCTTTTTCATTAGCACTTAGGGTTATTAATCCTTCATTACTGTTGTCTTGTTTAGAAGATTTATCCATTGCTAGGTGGGTGACTGGGGCTTCAGTGTTAGGCGCAGGTGAAAATATCTGTGCATCTGAGGGGACTTTGGATAGCCTGTTTGTTTTGTTTGAAGGGCTTGGAATAGATTTCACATTCATGTCATGTTTCTGTTTCTGCATCTGCTGATCTTTGGTTTCTTCAGGGGTTTGATTGATTTTAGCAGTGGGTTTCAAGGAGGGAGGTGTTGAATTTGGGTTTATTAAAACTGCAGTTTTATTTGCTTCTGATTCAGAGTAAACTACAGGATTAGATTTATCTGATTTAAATTTATTTGCAAGTTGAGATGCCTCTGGTTTAGAGTGACTTGGAGTATTAAATATATCTGTTTTAGCAGGAGTTGGAGGATTAAGTATGTTTGATTTGGGCAAAACATCAGGACTGTCTTCATTAGATATACATGTGGCTTCAGGTCTGGATATTTCTGTCTTTGAGGGGGCTGTAAAGATAGATGCACCTAACTTTGAGGGAGCTGTAAATTTAGTTTCCTCTGGCTTTGAGAGGGCTGTAGGTTTAAAATCAGGGGGGACTTTAGTGTAACTTCTGGTGTCTGCTGATGGCATTCTAGAGTCTGTGACATTGGTTGAGTTTGTTGTGATTTTATTGAAACTTTCATTTTTGGTGTTTATGATATTGTGAAGTTCATTACCTGTATTGATATCAATAGAAGTGTCACAGACAGCAGAGTAAGTCTGGTGGGTTTCTAAAGAAAACTTGGATAAACATGACATGGTTTTCTGTTCTTGATTTGCAGAAACTTGTAATTGCATCGCTTTCACTGACGCATGATTAAAACTTTCTGTTGGATATATAGATCTGTGTGCATTCTCTGACTGCACCGTTTGCAGTGGGATATTCTGAACCGATAAGAAATTCTTTGTTAACAATCCGGTTATATTTGAGTTCGGAATATTTGATTGTACCAGGGGAAAATCCATTTGTACCAGGGGCATTTTTTTCCCCTCTGCTGTAAAAGGAGGGGTGGCTATGTCTGTAGACCCTGAATTTAGTTGTCTAGGAGCCTCTGCTATAGCGATGGGGTTTATGGCCTTTCTTAAAGGTGTAGTTTGAAGCCCATTGTACATTGTATCTTCAGGATTAAAGCTAGAGGCACTGGTTTTACTCCAGCGATTGTCTCTTGCACTGGTTTGTATTTCAGTTTTGTCAGTTACTGGTAGCATTTCTTGGTTTGTCATCAAGATTTGTGAGGGCAGTGCAGCCACTGATGTTTGTAATGCCTCTGAGGATTTCTCTGCATTGAAATCAGATATGATACTGAACTTTTCTTGTGATGTCTTGGTTGGAGATTTGGTCTCATATGTCATGTTTTTAAAGTCTTCTGGTACTTCAGGCTTAGATACAGAAGGATCCCCATGTGAATTCACCCTGATTCCACCATAAGCAATATATTCAGCAGGTGTCAAAACGTAGTAAGTTGACTTTTGTTTCGGGATGTTAATATCATTTTGTGATGGCCTCTGGTTGCCCACAAACCGTGCTGGTGGTCTTGGTGACCAGTATACAGGCATACTTGGTGTTTGATAGTTTTGGGAGAGTACAGTCATGGATGTCTCCTGAATTATATCTGTTGGAACAGACTTGCCTGGTGTCATTATACAGGTTTCTGTCGTTTCAGTTTTAGTCCTTGGATACTCCCGTGGAACTGTAGATGTAAGTACCTCACATGCTCTAGAGCTTGACTTACTAGCCTCAGCAAGGGTCATGGATAAGGAAACCTCACATTTAGAAATCTTTGGTGTCAAGCATTCCTCAGAATAGGCATTAGAAATTAACGGTTTGAGTCCTTTAGTGAACACAACACCATTTGGAGTGTAATTCTTTATTTTATCCACAGCGATTTTTTTCAGGCCATCATCATGACCAACTACTGCACTTTGAGCTTTTACACTAGTCAATGAGGGAGGTTGGAGCTGGTGATTTTGAGGTATGGGCCCCTTTTGGTTTTCTGTAGAAATCATTGTTGTGGATAATGTAGAGTTAAATGCAAACAAGGTTTGATTATCTGCAGAAGCCTCCAAAACAGGTCTTTTTGCCCCTGTAACTGGGCTTGCATATGTATTTATCTGACTAGAATGTGTTTGAGCTTCATACAGCATCCCTGAATTTTGTTTAACATTTATCACTGAGTTTTTTGCATTAAATGGTGCTTCTCCTTGAAAAGTTGAACCACAAGTCCAGGAGTCCTGAATAGGTGGCTTTGATATCTCATAAAATGAGTTTTTTTGAGTATAAATCCTTGTTTGTGGAAAATCAGCTGTTGTGGAAGTCTTGAAGTGTGACCCAGCTGTTTCCATGACGTGATTATGTGCGAGAGGTGTGTGAGTAACGGGTGCAGGTGCAACATTTTTATATCTTTCCCCGTTGGATTGACTCACTGGAACCTGAGAGATGGAAGGTTGTGTCTCGTAACCCGGCGCACAAGCCATTGTCAAATTTGGAGCGGGAGGTCGAACTGGAGCCAAAGGGGGAGCTTGTATTTGTACTGAGGCTTGATAGGTCTGTTGTTCACCAAATGTGCCATGCGTCGACCCTGCTCTTGAGGAGCTGGACTGAAGTGTTTGGCTGAAGGCTATCTCAAAGCATGTATCTGGGTCAGCATCTGTGGCCTGCTCGGAGTCATCGTCAAAAAGGATAGATGAGCATGTGTATAGAGGTGCTATCTGGTGCTCCAGTGATCGGGCAGGGTAAGAGTACAGCTGTGCAGACAGTGTGGGCGTAGAGCTGTAGTGTGAGCTGTTGGCAGGGTATAAGTATGGGGAGGCAGAGTGACAGTAGAAAGGGCTGCAGGAGGAATATTGAGAATCTAGGGTCCTGCTGAAGGGAGGGCTTTCTGGAGTCCTTGGAGGGATGGAGTGGTCACTCTGCTCCAGGTCAGGGCTGACCTCATTTACTGGCGACAAGTTCAACCTGAATGGGATGGGTGTCTGAGAGGAAGAACTGACTTTCTTCTTGACACTTTTCTTAAGGAGTTTCTGCAGACGGGCATTGTCTCGCCCTGGTTTTGGCAGTAGAGGAGGAGGGTATTGCTGTGGAAGCAGATTAGGCTGACTACCATAACTTAAAGCCATCAGCATTTCAACACCTGCAGGCTAGAGAAGAGAGATGATGCTGATCTGCAAAAGAGATGAACAGACAGATATGAGATGGATATCAGTTACCGCAGTACTGCACAGGTACTGTGAAATACAAATACAAGGTGTTTAAAGGCCACACCCTAGCTGTGCAAATTATGTATGTCAAACAAAGATGTTAAATGACAAAAGCAGCTTTCAATGGTTTTAAAGCAGGCACTTTGACACTTCAGTCAGCACAACAACCCGAGGCCTAATGTCTCTCACAGAGCCATGCACCTGACACCCACTAACAGATCACACTCACACTGTTAATGAAAGTTAAATTGAGCTTTTTTTTTTACCTGTGCAAGTATTACTTTGCAATTAAGTGTGCAGCTGCAGGGTCCAACTCTGAGTGTGCTGGGGGAAGATTAGTAGAACAGAGCAACAGGACATGGTGACCTACCCCTTTTCCATGCCAAAAATAAAACTCCTCGCCCTGAATTCAAGCTGCACTCTGACAACCAGTGAGCTGTAACCAGGCGCATGCGTTAGGTTATCAAAAGTCTGTTTCTCCTTAGCTATCTTTGCATGCATTTATGAATGCTAAATGTCTTTTGAAGACCACATGGAATTGGTGTGATGTGCTGTGGTAATAGTGTTAACTTGTCTGCCATAGTCTGTTGATATGTTTTGTTCGGGGCATTAGTGTAGATTCAGGTATGGATGTTAGAGGCACATATTGCATGTTTGTTTGTCTTTCAAAGCAAAAGGCAACCATATTATTTGCCTTTATAAAGTCACAAACGTTGAAATATTATCAGCTGAACCAGAGCTCCTCAGCCAATGAGACTCCTTAGAAGATCAAATATCAGTATAAGTCAAGGACTTAAGAAGTTTCAAGGTTTGCAGAACCTTACAGCCCGTCTTCGCCATCAAGACACTCTCTTCTTTCGGCTTTTCTGAGGTAAGTGTTTAAAGGTTTGGTATCTTCAAAAAAGTAAAGACAAGGCTGGGCTGGGTCTGAGCGGACAGTTCGTTGCTTCTGCTCACAGCTGACAGTGCTTTTCTCTTTTAAAGGTTTTTTTAGTATTTGGTATTATTTCCTCTCTCACATGTTGTAGTAAATTATTGTTGTAAAAGATGAACGGGAGGTATGTGAATGGATTATGCTAACAGATTTCACCTCAGTTGACAGCCTTGATCATTTGAGGGTGGGTGTGGGCACTTCTGTAAATGGGATGGTTCTGTCTAAGTATGGCACTTTGTAGATAACAGACCAAGGCCAACACAATGCTATTTAGGATTTACACATTGTTGGCTTCCTCTTTGTCCTATCCTGTAGATCACCACTAATGATAGCAAAGACAATAGAGGCTTAACAAAGAACAGCTGACAACAGATAATAGCACAAACAGGGTGGTAGCATTAGAACAATGCTCTAATGATTTCTCAAACATGGACTAGATAGTTGTCATTTTGACACTAATAAAATAGATATCATAATTGTATAATATAGTGGTTCTGTTTTGATGTTGCATTCACTTTTTGATTCATGTCAGTATAGAAACACATAAATAGTCTGGCATTCTTTCCTTTAATGGCTCATAATAGTGTAAGCAGACAGTCATGCCCACATAAGGCAGGGCTGACAGGACCAGAGCCTCACTGTCAAAAAAAGAGAGAGAGCTGATGCTGGGAAATCTGATCATGTGTTAATCTCCAAACGCTTCTGCAGCTGTGCTGGAGATATGAGTCACAGCGCACACACACACACATTTCTGAAGCTATATTAGTGAGGACATCTGTTAGATGCAATAGTTTTTATACTAAGATCATGATATTTATTTTATCATCAGAAAGCTTACATCATATAAACCAATTGACATTATTAGATATAAAGCACAACATTTGGCTAATTTATGTTCCTGTTTTATTTGTGAGGAAATAATCTTAAATTTGGCCCTAACAGCTATAGCCAAACCTGTGGACACACATTTGTTTTTTATTTTGCTCTGCTTTGAGCATTTATCATTTTTTTGATCAAATGGTCATAAAATGTTACGAGTTACCTAAAATATTTAGCATGTTGAGGTGCCTTTCACACCTGTCAAGTCAGTGATTAACCCTGTCATAGTGGTACAAAACAAAGTCTAAAGAACAATTACAAACATTCTCTCTGTCCGCTTTGTATAGGTCTAAAGCTCCGTCATCATGTCCGACACAGAGGATGTGTAAGTATTCTGATATTTGATGTAATATAATTATATATATATATATATATATATATATATATATATATATATATATATATATATATATATATATATAGCATATATACATGCTCTTTTTTCAAGACAAAATAATGATAAATCTTCTTTCTCTCTCTTCAATCAGTGGGGTCGAGGGTAAGTACTAAATTTGAATTCTTCATCTTCTTCTTATTATTATTATTGCAGTTAAAGTAAAAATACATATGCCTTAGCCAGGATTTTCAAGTCTGTCATATCCAGAGATGGGCAGTATTCTAATTAAATGTATTTAAAATATGTATTTAATTACTTTTGATCGAGTACTTTGTCATTTGTATTTTGCTGGAAAAAAATATCAAATACAATTTGTAATTAAATACTTTGAGAGACAGTATTTTGTATTTGAAATTATTAAAATACTTAATCAAGGTCATTTTATTCTCAGATAAATGAGATAGAATAATCTTTCTGCACCTGTTAATAGTACTGCCAACTATAGCCTATCAGTTTTTGGTTAGATGCAAGTGAATCATATGACATCCTGTTGGATCCATAGGGCGGAGTCTTAAAGCGTTGGTTCACCCAAAAATGAAAATTCTGTTGTTAATTACTCTACCATGTGTAGTTCTACTTCTGTACAACCTTCATTCATCTTCGGAACATAAATTAAGATATTTTTGATGAAATCCGAGATACTATCAGATATTGCTCACCGAATGTAATTACAGGACAGAAGGAAAAGCTGTGCTGCTCTACAACTTTGCTTGCTAGCTGACAAGTGATGTTAGCTTGCTAGCTTAAGTTAGCTACTTGCTTCTATGGACAAAATGAAATTTTTAAAGGGGCTTTATGAAAGAATTTTCAAGTATTAATCACTTTTTATTGCCAATGTGGGAACAGCATGTAACAAAACTTAAAAAATGAGAGCCTGTAGACTAATTTTTGAATTCTACAGAGAGCCCTTTAACAGCTTAATGTCAGCATTTTTAGGAGTTAATCTTTACTCTTGACAGTGAAATAGCTTGCTTGAGCTATCCTCTTGAGTAGGACTAGGCGGTATGACAATACAGTTTCGCAGGACTGCTTAATATTTGACACGCTGATAAAGAAACTATAAAGTGAAGTGAAGTAACATGTGGCCAAGTATGGTGTCCCATACTCGGAATTTGTGCTCTGAATTTAATCCATCCAAGTGCACACACAGCAGTGAGTAGTGAACAAACACGCACACACACAACGTGAACACACACCCAGAGCAGTGGGCAGCCAATGCTGCGGCGTCCGGAGCACAGGGCGAGCCAGCCAGGAGCGATAAGAAACATGAAAAAGTGTAGACATGCTTGATGGTATTCAAGTAAACACAGTTGGTTGTGTCTTAAGTGAACATAAGAAATTAGAAGAAATATGGATCAATATATTGGATATATTGTCTAGTGTTAGGGTTAAAGAATATGTTGTTTATAAGTTGTTCAAGGAGGAGAAAGCACTTATATTTCTCTCATTTGTGTATCTAACTCCAGTATTGCTTTTCAAATTACAAATTCAATTAAATATTAAATACATTTATAAAAATTAAATACATTTCTCACACCAGTATTTTGTATTTTAAATTAAATATATTTGATGAGCAATTTGTAATTTGTAATAAAATACTTTTTGATGTATTTGTGCCCATCTCTGGTCATATGTACACATTTGTCCACTTGATATCTATTTCCATTTTATTTTAAATATTATGTTTATGTATTTTTTCAGTCAGAATCAGTGTTTTCTTGGTATGTCAGCAGTTACTTTGATTATGTTTAGAAACAGTGAGAGCCTTGGTGATATTTTTTTGCAGGTTTGTCTTTGCTCTATTTAGCATTAAAAATTCAATAATAAAAAACACATATTTCAAATAGAAATATTTATCCAATGCAAGAAGGGTGCCCTGAATTTGCCTGTAGTGACTGGTATTGTGCCACCTGCTTTCTGGCAGCTGTTTTATGAATCTCATGCCAGCATACTGCCTTCTGCCACTGCCACAGAGAGCTATTTTAAGAAGATCTCTGGAGGCTGACATGTCAAACACATGCAGTGGCTGAGAGCAGTATTAATGATGCTCATGTTACTGGTGTTCTCTGAGGTGAATGCTCATGTGAGGCTAGAAAGGCCAGAGATCAGACCAAATTATTCATTTACAGGAATTCCTTTGACAAATGTACAATAATACAACTGGCCATAATACAACTGTCCATATAGAATGTGATCAGTCTGTACTGAACTGAGGAGCACTGACTCCACAGAACACCACCAACAAATAAAAGGCTCGGCATGCATTTAATGTATGATGTTATTCCAATTACAATAGTATCAAAAATATATATAAATAAATAAAATTATAAATAAAAAGCATTTTGTAATTTTTGTATTCCTTTACTGCTTTCTTTTCTGGCATATGAAGAGCTCGAAGAAGGAGGTAAAAGAATAAACAAACAAATAATTAAACACTACCACTACAACCAAACCAACCATGAGGATTTGAAAATTAACTAGTCTTTCAATGTACTAATTCAACACAATGTCCCCTTATTCATTTTAAACTGCCTGACATTGCTGACACTGTCTGTAGTAAGGTGTAACTAAATCAAATAAAAATAATTAACGGAAAGCAGAAAATGATTTGCTTAACTAATTTTTGTCTGATTCAAGAATCTTTCAAATGTCAACCTTTTCATTTAACTCATCATAAGATCAACTAAAACCATAATCATAGTAATCATATTCATGGTAGGAAATCTAACCAGAGCTACCGAGCATGTGCTGCCCCCTACAGCTTGAAGGGCGCTATGACCTCTGATGACCTTTTGAGTAGAATGCATCAAGCAGATTGTAATATTCCAGTATCTGGAGGCCTGAAGTTCTAAATTGTGTGGCTGCTGAAAAAGTATTTGAAATAATCTGTTGTTTTGATTCATTGTCTATGTTTTTGAGATGTTAGTTTGTGGATTTTATCTGTGCATAAGTTGTGAAATTTATTCTAGTTTATTTTCCTATCAAACACAAATTAGTTAGAGATGATTTTAGATCATTAGACTCGATGGCTTTGGCAAACAGGGAAAAGCAAAGTCATTTCTTGTGGGTATTTTATTTGGCATGTGGTATCCTGGTGTCTCATCATTTCATAACAGGTTCTCCCGCTATGTGCATCCTCTCAGCCACCTATCCCATTTTATACATTTCACACATGATTCTCTCTCTCTCTCTCTTTCTCACTTTAACCAATACATAATCTCCCATTTCTGAATGCTCCCTCCTCTGCAATGCATTAACTGTTGATAACCTTCCTTCCCCTGGTTGCTTGCTGCATGTATTATTAGCTGAAGAGGTAGTAGAGGTAGAGGTAGCCCCAGAGGCAGCTCCTGAACCGGAGCCTGAGCCTGAGCCTGAGCAAGAACCAGAGCCAGTGCCAGAACCAGAGCCAGAGCCAGAAACACAGCCAGAACCAGAGCCAGAGCCAGAACCAGAGGTGCATGAGGAAGGTATGTGGCATGAATATTCATTCATCCTTACCATTTCCCCCAAAACAACTAAAAACAGGCAGTGCACCTCATCTGCTACTTAAAAATCAGTCACATTAATGTAGTTCCCCAGTAGTACCCTTCCCCCCAACCCACCAAAACTTTAACCACTACTGGCGGTGCTTCCTCTTCGTTCAGGCCCACCATGAGACTGGTATGGTACTATCAAATGTTGACAGAGTTTAGATCCATGCCATTTCAGTCCCTTGTGGTGCATTTGAAATTTTTTTGCAGAATTGGACAATTTCCAGTATGAACAAGGAATATTTTCCAATTCAAATTCACTTACAGACCGGGGAGTGAGCTGGAACGATCACGCTCTGACAGACATGGTGCTCGTCAAACCTAAAATGCAGCTTTATTTAGGGTGCATGCAGGAGGCCTGCAGTGTTGGGAAACAAATATTAGCTTAGCCATCAAAACAGTGTAGCTTTTTTAGTTATCAGATTTTTTTATTTTTTTTGCATCACAACAAAGTCGATAATTAAACACTTTCCACTTTCTTTCTTATCATGTCATTTTGGAAAGTCCCAGCCATTCAGACTGGTCTTGTAAATTCAGATTCAGTAAATGATTCACAAAACAACGATGCACTGATCATTTTTTGCAATAATTTTTTTGCTAAGCATTTTGTAGCTATACTAAATACTGCTGGTCTTCCCCATTTTTTTTTCTGTTCAAGGTTAATCCTATTATACTAATTAAGGTCCTTATTGTTTTGTGCAGTAGATTTATGGTAGATCTGATTTGATTGCAAAAATAAATCATATAATCGGATAAGATTTAATTTATGTTTACAAAAATATCCTGCCCTCTTAAATTGCTTAAGTGTACTTCCTTTTAGTAGGGTAGACAACTTAGAGTAGCTTGACTGCAGATGAACTGTTGTATATCAGGACAGGAGTAGCTTGGCAAACAACAGTTTCAAAGTAGCTTCCCAACACTAGAGGCCTGAGCTGATGATAAATCACATTACAGCTCCTGCTCTTTCCAATTTCAGTGCAGCAATGATGCTTATCAGATAGTCACTGAAAACTCTCTACACTTTTCTACATTCAAAACTGTCTCTGAGTTGCCGCCAGCATAATGCTACTCTAGGCTGCATCTTGAAGACAAATCTATTATATCGCATGTGTTATAATAATTATGCAACAAATGCAACTGCTTCAGTTGCTATGCTGTTTCATAATATTCATGGAAGGAATATTAAATGGTCAATAAATGGTCAGTATATTCAAAATTACTTTCAAAGGGACAAAAAGGGCTATAATATGTTGTAGTACCTTATTCTTTCTAATTTCCCTGGCTTAACACTGGAAAGGCTCTCTTTGGCACACTGAGCTATAGTTAAACATTAAATATTAAACTTAAATATTAGAGTTTAAATTATAACTAAACTTTTTACTCTAAAAAGCAAAATGCTGAAAGTGTCAAACAAGATGCCATCCATTATTAAGGTGTTTTTGTCCACGTTGAAATACCAGTCAATGTTTTATATTAATATGTATGCAAATATAGATTGGTCATCAATATAAATGTTGTTATTTCGCTTATGTTCATTTAATGACTTGCTCATTTTGAGGTGTCCCACTGAAATTCATTCATCTATTTCTTTATTGGGATTTTTTGTTTAATTGATTTCTGCCAATGTATCCTGATATAAGTTGGCACCTCAATCTGAGTGTCTGCTTAGCTGAAGTCTGCATCTGGGGCCAGTTGCATAAACTGTTTAGACTAGTCTTAAAAAGTTAGTCACCTAATCTGTTTTTTTCAAGACTGGTCATAACTTTTTTAATTCAGTTATGAAAAGGTAGATTGTTCTTATTTGTATTAGAAAAGTAAGACTGATTACCCCTTGGCAACTGCTAGTTGGTCAAACTAGTTCTTAAGACACAGTCTTAACATGGTGGCTAAATTTATTCAACTGGCCCCTAAGCATGCAGCCCTGCTTAGGGCAGCAAAAAGCACACAAAGCAACATTAATGTTCTCTATTTTACTCTTGCTTTCAACGCTTCATGCATGCAGAGGCCTATGAAGAGGAAGGTATGTTTGTCATTTTCTTGTATTTGTCATTTCTGATTAGAAAGAAGGCATGGGGAGGGGTTAATGCCTGCAAGGAACAGTGAAATCAGGTCCAAAACCTTTCAACATAAGATTCTGAATGGGGAGACCCAGTGAACTGGCCTGAAGTGTCAGTTGAAACTGACACTGGCTTACCTTAAGTCAATAACAAGGGTGAAAGAATATGAAATGCTGACATTGCTCTGTGCTTTGCTTCATTTTGCATGAATGTGCCACACCAGTGGAAGAAGGAGGACAAGATAGTACTTTTAATTCCCTTCTGGAAAATGTCTGGTCTGGATGTGGCTTTTTGCTTGTGTTTTTGGTGTGAAGGTCAAGCCAAATAGTTACGAAACATTGCAATGGACCTAACATCTCATCTAGGTCACCTGCAGAGTCTAGTCAGAGAAAGATCTATAACAAACTCAGATTTAGATGCTGTTAGTCAAGAGAGATGGGAAAATGAATGAAGGATAAAAAGATTAATCTTTTCCACAAGGATTTGTTGTTATGTTAATTCTTGGAAGAGTGAGAATGGTCCACTTGCCAGGAGTTCTGTATCTGTTTATACTCATGTACTTATAAGCACCTCATGATCTGAATTCTTATGCAGTGATTATTCTATATTTGTTTTGATCACCTATTTGTTTCACAACTTTCTAACTAACCCAGTTTATTAACATTACTGAAACGATTGAAATTAATATGTGTAATTTACTTTGTAAACATACTTTCAGAAGTTACATACATCATTCTTAAAGCTCAGGTAATATAAACCAACACAGAGTTGTTACCAAGAGTAACTCCATGTTCATGGATATGGCTAACAGAACTCCCACTGATTGTTGACTGAGCTTGTTTTAAACTCTCTAACCATGTTACATATCCCTCTCCCTTTTTTATTTTTTCATAACAGAGGAGAAGCCCAAGTTCAAGTAAGTAGAATTGACAACTAAGCACTTTTTATAGCTGAGCAGCCAGTTTCAATGCTGCGATGCAATACAACATGCTCTGGGTTTTACTGAGGAGCTGGGGAAGATTGAGATACCCAGAATCCCCACTAAAACACATTTTGCTTTCATTCCCTTCAGACCAAGTGCACCAAAGATACCTGATGGGGAAAAGGTGGACTTTGATGTAAGCAAGTACTTTACTGGTTACAATGTGTTGTGGTGTTATGTATTAAACATTGTAAGAATACATGTTTGAGGTCATACTTACGTGTGTGCAAACAGGACATCCAGAAGAAGCGCCAAAACAAGGACCTCGTTGAGCTGCAGGCCCTGATTGATGCCCACTTTGAGTGCAGGAAGAAGGAAGAGGAAGAGCTTATTGCCCTGAAAGAGAGAATCGTGAGTATCAGCCATCTGTACATTATCCCACTAAATAGAAGGATACTCAACAAAAAATAAATACGTGGACATAGAATATTTGAGTTGAATTTTTTTAAATAATCTTACCTGTATCTTAACTTAAAGCTTCTTCTAAGAAAAAACAATTGGCCATTCAACAAGATGATCACTGCAACAATATTTCAGTAATATTAATACTCACAAGAGCTCATTTTCACTACAATCGATAACTGAAGTGCAAAGTTTAAAGTTTAAAGTTTAAAGATTAAAGTTTATCGCGCCAGATTCATTTACCTGGATCTGGTCTTGCTTTGAAACAAAATATAGCGCTATAAAATTGTTTTTGTTATTTGAAATAAAGCTTAAATAAAATAAAGTATAACAATTCGATGAAAATTTTTTGACCCTAATAAACTAACTAAATAATTTGTTTATTTCTATTTTCATTTCATAAATCAAAACAAGTAAACCTATAACTGAAACAAACAAAGTTACAAAACATAAAACAAAGTTAAATATATATATTTTTTTTTAAATGACAAAGGCACATAAAATTACTAAAATTAAACTGAAACTGAATATTAATCAAATTAAATATTAATCAACACTATAGGCTAATAGTATATAAATAATACTAAAATAACACTGGCCTAGATGAGCAGAATGATACAGCATTCAGAATCGAATATTCCAAAGCGCAGTGTATCAGGATATTATAATGGACACATTTATTATGTGTATGTGCAGGAGAAACGTAGGAATGAGAGGGCAGAGCAGCAGAGGATCCGTGCTGAGAAGGACAAGGAGCGTCAGGCAAGACGTGAGGAAGAGAGGCTGAGGAAGGAGGAGGCTGATGTTAAGAAGAGGGCAGATGAAGATGCCAAGAAGAAGTCTGCCCTTTCTAGCATGGGCTCCCAGTACAGCAGCTACCTGCAGAAGGTTTTTCTAGCAACCCCAACTCTGATTCTGTCAATCATCACTCTGAGTACAGTACTGTATATGACTGTGAAAAGTAAATAGGCCTAAATGTTTTGTTTGCATATTGCTAAAAACAGGCTGATTCAAAGAGGGGAGGTAAGAAGCAAACTGAAAGAGAGAAGAAGAAGAAGATTCTGGCAGACAGACGCAAGCCTCTGAACATTGACCATCTGAATGAGGACAAGCTGAAGTGAGCCCAAATCTGACAACTCTATGCCTACAGTCAATGAGGCTGAAAGAAAAACACCTTGTTCTGACAAAACAGAGTTTGTGTGTGTATTCTAAATGTGTTTTGGTATATATGTGTGTTTACAGGGAGAAAGCTAAAGAGCTGTGGGACTGGATGTACCAACTGGAGGCTGAGAAGTTTGAGCACATTGAGAAACTCAAGAGGCAGAAGTATGAGGTGAGGGAGCTGACTAATGACCATTTACACAATACAACATCTATAAACTTATTTTACTTTATGTTTCATCACAGCCTATACTTATTTTACAAGGAGAGATCCACTACTTTGTCAACTGCACCCTGGGCACATTATAGCCTAAAGGGATAGTTGACTTATAAATGAAAATCTGTTATAAAAAGAGATGTTAGACAGAATGGCCACCTCAATCACCTCAACATATATATATATATATATATAAGCATTAAAGTCAGTGTTGTCTGAGATGCACATTCTGTGAACAATTTATGTACTATAATATTTGTCCACCCAGCTGCATTCAGCTGGCCAAAAAGAAAGTCAATGCCTTGTTAATTATTTATACAGTATACATTTAGTACACAAATGTTATTGTGTTTGTGCATTAGTGGTGGGGATTTTTCAGTGACTCTTTCTGCAGGTTACATCGATACGGCTGTTGGTGGTGACAAGTCTTTATAAATCATTTATTCAACCGATTCATTCAAGAAAGCTGATTCATTCAGAAACAAAACATCACTATTGTATGTTGCTTGGAGACATGATGGTTGATTCTGCTTTGGCTTTGTTTTTGCTGGAGGAACGGAAAAAAAAAAGATTAAAGATGTGGTCACATTAGCAAACATTTTGGTGACATTTTGCTGGCAAAAACATTATCTCTTTATTCCACATTATCTATTGTCAAAAGCATAGTGATGTATGAAGCAAAGCACACACAGAATTCACCTTAAATCCAATAGCTTTCTGTTGGTAAATGCAGTGAATTCGAGTGAGCAACTTGAACCCACTGCGAAATCTGCATGGGGGAAAATCTTTCACCTTGATGTGAAATTCCTGATCATGTGGATTCCGGTTGTTGACTATATTTCATGAAACGGTAATTGTGACCACCCCTTAAGTAACTGGCAATATTGTGTCTAAAATGTAAGAAACTTAATATTAATTTATTTAAATATTGTATAAAAGCAATAGTGCATTCCCTCATTTGCATACCACTATGACAGCTTGACATTAAAAGAACATGAACAAATCGGTCATAATGGCACATGTATGTAAGAGCAGGTCTGAGTGTGTCTGTACAGGTGATTCAGATTGTGTGTGTGTGTGTGTGGTAGTTCGGGTCTCAGCTGTGTTCTGGTGTTCTGCAGGTTACTACCCAGCGTATGAGAGTGGAGGAGCTCAGTAAATAGTGAGTAACTGGAACTGTAGGAAGTTAAGGCTTTGGTCAGCAACAGGGACATGGCGGCATGGTCTGCATGCATGAGACTCTCTGGTCTCCACGGCTTCTGGGAAACAGGTCGATTCAGACCACAGGTGAAAGGTCAAATGAATTGTCACTCCTAAAAAAAAAAATCTATGGTGAGAGCCTTCATAACAAGTTGATCTCTTTCACACAAGCAGCTAAACCAAACCACTATTCCAACAACCTAGATATGATACAGTAGAGATATGCTTCATGTTAAAATGAAGTTAGTCAGCTTCTGAGCTTACGTATTCCAAGATGTTTCTCCTGCAGGTAAGTGTGTGTGATTGTTTAAGCTCAATACCGTCTTGCTGAGGGATTCTCCACTGCAGCACAAAACACTCATGCCTGTGACATGCCCACACAATGCAGCTTTATACGAGCTCCTGACGTCGGCAAATCCTGAGCATCAATCCAGAATGATTTGTGTGTGTTTGTCAGCACTCAATGGTAGAGGACAGCTGTCACAATCCAGGATCCTGTGGTTAAGGTATGATCTTGCAGGTTTAAAAACACTCATGTGTTGTTTTCAGGTCATCTCTCTCAGAAACCGCATTGATGAATTGCAGAAGCAGTGAGTAGCTCCTTGCCACCACACACAGCACACAGATGGACTGACTACCGCCCTTCTGCCTTTACTCTAATATTACTATCTAACGTTACTCTAATCTTATTATCTAATCATTTTCACACCCCATGAAAACTCTCAAAGAAACTGTCACACACAAGCTGCCAGTCAAATTGGATAAAAAGTTGGATATCTGTCATTGGCAGCAGGACTTTACAAAACATGTCCTAAAACTTGATATAGGGCTGTAGTTTTGAAGCTGTTGTAGAGATGGTAAGTATTTGGGACATTTTTGTAGCGTTGTGAAGCGTGACACCTTTGAGAGTGAGTTTCTGCAGAGCTGTATGAGTTTCATCCACCCTAATCAGACAGTGAACCCTCTTTGCAGTTTCCTCATACAAGCTCCCCTCTACGTTTACATGCACTCAAGTTTGATTTCAGTTGGACTAAAGTAATTATTCATCTGTTTTGAATGTCATGTAAACACTTTAGTCTGACTTAAATCATGCCAGTCTGGTTTTTAAGTTAAACTATCCAGATAATGACGTATACGCAAATCGAACTACTGTTTACAGTCTATATTGTAGGTCAGTGTTTCTGCCATGTTTCAAATCGACACGGCATGCCACTTCCGACATCACAACTCCGCAACTCAAGTATCATCAAGAATTCTGGGTTTCCCCACTTGTAAATAAAACATTGCTTAGTCATTCATGTGCTTGTAACTCGTAATTGCGATACGACTTCACTTGAAGGGCACATGAATCCTTCAAATATTCGCTAACGCATTGTGTCATATATAGCCTACTTGGACAGACAGATGAAGATTGTAGCTCGATTACAACGGTGCATGTAAACATACTTGATTTCTGAATTGGTTTACATACAATGAAAAATAAAGCTCACTCTTATATCGCTCAGCATGCAATACATAGCGTAGCCTAAGTGGCACTATAAAGTACTATTCACTATTCCAGATCTGGCTTATTTTTCATTGGTGCCAGCAAATCTGAACTGTGATGAATGTGTTTGGTATACATGAGGTAATGAGTGGTGAAAATGTGATGTGTATCAGCTGCTGCGGTGATAAACATTTAAGACTAAGACAGGCCTGTTTAACAAACTGACAGAGCTCAGACAAAGAGCGGTAAGTCCTGCTTGGAGTGAACGCGATTTCATTTCCATGTGCATGACAGACTTTGTGTGGACACAGTAAGTGAGAGGAACATCCTGCAGGACTGGACTGAGAAAACTGGGAAACAATAGTATTTGGTGTGCTCTATGTTGCTAAAAATAGCAGTCACATACACTCTTAAAAATAAAGGTGCTTCAAAAGGTTATTCAAGCGATGCCATAGAAGAACCATTTTTGGTTCGTAAGCCAGTTTACAGCCAAATTAAAGCCAGATTATAACAGGTATATTCTGAAATGAACTCACCGGTCTGTTACTACGGCAATCATTCTTTCTAATTGTCATCCTTACTGTCACTTTCTGGCATGACTTGCCGTCCTCTTTACCTACAGCATGAGAAGTCAATTGTAGCGTCTTGACCACTCCAACACACAATATATATTTTGTTAGCTAGATTTCACAAATATGATCTTTTTCATCCTGTGTGACAGTTCTAATTCATTCAATAACTTCTGCTCTCACTATATTAGGATTAGATTCTCATTTATTTGCTTGTTAATTGCTTGACTTCCTGTTGCTAAAATGATGTTTAAATGATTGAATTGCTTACCGTCAATTTGGGTGATGAAAAGTTATATCGACAACAGTGCACTGCTCAAGAACACTGCAGGGATGCCACTTTAAGTGGCATCACTGGATGGCTTTGCCTCAAGTTCTAAAGTAATCTTGGCATTCAGCACGTGCTTGACTATGCATTATTGGACTATTTTAATCTGGTTCATAACTGCAGCTTATAGCAGGATGATTATGCTACATTAATTTTCCAATTCAATAAAAATGTATAGTATGAACGGTAAACAGACTTTGTTTAATAGATTTTATGGTTCACCTTTTTCATCCTCCTCTAAGATTGAAGGCTTTAACTTTGCAAGATTTTAAAGGGGTCATATGATGTTGCGAAAAATAACATTATTTTGTGTGTTTGGTGTAATGAAATGTGTTTATGCGGTTTAAGGTTAAAAAAACACATTATTTTCCACATACTGTACATTATTGTTTCTCCTCTATGCCCCGCCTTTCTGAAACGCGTCGATTTTTACAAAGCTCATCATTCTGAAAAGCGAGGTGAGCTCTGATTGGCCAGCTATCCAGTGCATTGTGATTGACCGAATACCTCAAGCGTGTGACGGAAATGTTACGCCCCTTACCATACTGTGATGCTGTGTCCCAGCGTGATGAGACAACACCAATAAAACCTATTACAAACGAGGCATGTGTTGCATCGAGTGGGGACATAATTACAGATTATAATGATTTATACTGTCTTTTTACGCGTTGTGTTGCATTGCGCCACGTAAACATAAAACCATGTCTGCATTTGTGATCGGAGAAACGATAAACAACATGCGCTACACTGCTCAAAACTCGTGTTTGAATCGTCAGTGGCAAATCCTTTAAATATGAAAACGTACTTACACTCTGTGAGTCAGAACATTCGGCATTGTAGTCTACTCTACCAGGATCAGGAAACAGTCCTCCATAAAATGCGCTGCACACATCTGAATATTTGGATTGAACTGTTCTGGAACAGTGTTGCAAGTACAACTTAAGCACTGATTTCTAGTCATGTCCTCTTTTGGAAGGCCAAACAAAATATTTTCGTTTTCGCAACGAAACACACAGCGTCTTCACAACATGGCGGCGGCGGTGGCAGCAACAATAAAGTTAAGCCTTCTTTCTTTGTGTGAACATTTGGGCGGCGTTATGCAAATCTTCCCACATCGTGACGTAGACATGTGGGGGCGTGTTTAAACGAGCCATTTTAGGAGGGCGTGGACGAGTCTTAACTTTTGTAAAGAATGTCTCATTGGGTTTGAGACTTTAGTCTTTGCAACTTTAGGGATCTTATTTATTCACGAACAGCTTGGAAAACTTGAAATCACATCATATGACCCCTTTAACAACTTTTTCTTGTAATGTATAACTGACAGTGGAAATAATACTATTCTTTCCCCACTCAGCTGATAAAAACGTAATCACTATAAAACTACTCATCTACTGAAAATAAGTGATACATTTGAATTTACTTGTACTCAAGATCAGTGTCGTTCCACCACCTCAAAATAAAAATAAAAAAAAGACCCAAATGAGCCCCAATACTTGATTTTCCAATAAAAGTTTAGGTCAGTAGTGAGCAGAAGTTGTAATGGTTTGAGTAATGTGGCACTGGAAGGAGACAACAGATGTGGAAAATGCTTTGTATTGCTAATGTTGCCATATCACCCAAAACATTACCAAACACCCCATTACCACAAACTACACATACTATGTGATTAGATGCTACAACCTAAGCACTCTGAATCATGCAGAGCTACAGAAACTCTCTAACAGGCCACTACCAACAGTACATTGTTGGCAATCAACAATGCACTGCCCGACAGAGCAAAATGGGGAAAGATTTAGCTGCTTCCAAGAAACATCTGGGAGAAAAGTGACTAGAGGAATAAATGACTTCAATGAGCAGTTTAATTCGAATCTGTTGAGAGTCCTGTATTGTTTGAATAGGGGGAGTACATTGTTGGAAATCAACAATGGTGATGGCGAGTCTTGAGGTCTGATGTTAGTATCAGGTACCTTGTTCACAGTTTGTGCTAACTGTGGGTTTCAAAGGGCTAACAGAGAAGGGGAACAGGGAGTTTGCAGCGCCTGGAGAGATTGTTACACAACGTTACACTCAGCCTGATGCAAGAAATTAACTTTTTGCTGTTGTGAGCATGTCAGTGCTTTTACTTTTCTTTTCAGTGAAAAAATGAATTCTCGGTTGTTCCCAGGATTTATTGTTTTTATGTTTAGGTTTATGAATTTTGCTCTTTACCTTGCTGGTACAGAACAAAAGTCCTGTGCCATGTCTCTTGTTTTCATTCATACATATTGAGTGCAAAAAACTTGTGAAAGAAACAGATGAACATTTTAAATATTAACATTACCCATGTTTCTTGTTATAACAAGAGCAGAAATGAACAAAATAATGTAACTTCTGTACTCACATGTCTTGCAGCACCCATCCATGTAACTCACAAGGGTGCCCCCAATCTAAGACAAGATGAACATTTTGAAAAATGTAGCAGGGGTCACACAGAAGGGACTTTTTTTTTAAGTAGCATATTTAATGACTTGCTATGTTTTGCTAAATGTTTATTACTTGTTAATGTTTCATATCTTTTTTCACAAAGGGAGCTGTCAGTGAAAGTATGTAACCATCACTGAATCAAGACCAGCATTGTCTTAGAAATGTGATTATGTATTAGTTTTATATAGTACATCTCTGTCTCACTTGCATGTGTTTGTGTGTATCTTACCTGTACCTTGATGTATTATTTAGGTTTATGTTTATCAAGGAGAGAGAATTCACCTTCATGCACTCAGTTTCATTGAAGGGGGGGCAGCTGTAGGGGTGGGAGACGAGCACAGGTCCTGACAGAGTGTCCGTACAGTCATAGTGCATGCAGTCAGACACCCAGCTGCGCCCTGGCTGGAGAGGGAAACACAGAGAATCCTTTCACATCACAGCAGAACAGACCCTATAGGAACAAAGTGCTGCAAGAGAGTCTTTAGAAAATGTGAGATTTTAAACATTTTAATTTTGGCTTCAATACAACATACATACACACACACACACACACACACACACACACACACACACACACACATATATATGTTGTATTAATATCTATGTATATAATATCTTTATATCTATTAATATCTTATTCTGCAATGATGCATTAAATTAGTCAAAAGTGACAGTACAGACATTTACTGTGTAATATTACAAAATACACTATTTTAAAAAATGTTGTTCTTTTAAACTTTCATCAAAGAATCCTTAAAAAATGTATAATGTTTTCCAGAAAAATATTAAGCAGCAAAAACTCTTTTAAAGATCATAGGTAGATCTGTAGTTTAGTTCTGTGCAGCTTTTGAGTGGAGGAGAACATGAGCATTTGCTGAACATCACCTTGTACATAGTTACAGATCCATTCTCACTCCGGCTCAGGCAAGAAATGTTCTTACACATGCCACAGCAGCTGCTGGGGTCTTTAGGAGGGATGTATATCTGGTTCTGGAGAACACATAACACAGTTAGGAGGTATTTTGTGTTTGGCCTGTGTGTGTATATGTGTGTCTTTGTGCATTTTAAATACTTACAGGCTGGCAGCGTGCAGTGCAGTTAGTGCCAGTGGCTTTGAGGAGATAGAAACCTGTGGCAGAATCCAGTGTGTGTGTGCACTGTGTGGTGTAACACACACCCTGATCACGGTGCTCGACCAGTGTTTGTCCTGGCTGCATCACTCCCCGTTCACCATCCACACACACTGCCTCTCTCACTATAAATATACACACATAGAAATGTACAAATAAAAAAATAGATACATACACACACATACATATATACAGTATATATATATATATATATATATATATATATATACATATAATTTT